CTGACCTTTCGAATCCCCACTTGAGCCTCTCAGCAGACGCAGTCGCAGATAAGGGTAATGGAAGCACAAGGAACACAGTATTTACAGGACGCAGTCGCCATACAACCACGTGCCTCCACTAATTAGCAGCGTCCGCTTTTATCGCTGAGGCTAGTATTTGATGTGCTGATGACTTGCTAGTCCGCACCCAAGTCGTCAATCTTGTGAGTACATGATTTGTTTATTATTGACCTACTAACCATTGGACCATTTAACACGCTATCTGGGACTGTTAGTCACTCGCGCCCCTTCCCCGCTTGGTTAATTACTGTATCCAGGCGAAGTTCCGGTAAATCATCTGGAAGCGGGAGGTCATTGTGTTTGTTAGTTTAGTGGCGGATATTTAGGGTAATAGGCAATGCCTTTGAAGACTGCGGGCCCGAGAAAAATGGTTCAAGCAGCTTAAGATTCACACGGTTGTCACCGCTTGCAAGAATTTCGGCCTCTTTAAACTCAGAGGTGTGACGGAGTCTCGTCGAATGACACCCCGACGCCAAGAATCAAGAACAGGGATGCTATGAAGGCAATGAAGTACTCGAGCGCGAACTCAAAACCATCATCGTATCAAACGTGGGCGCTGCTAGTTATGACAGGCATGGGGTTGCATGACAACCGCGTCCTATAAATACCACACTCTTTGCGCTTTCGTCGCCCTTATTTGCCCCCTGCCTCTGATGATGGGTTCCAGTAAGAAACCGAAACGTCAGGCTAATAAACTTCATGTTCCAATTGTCACACATTCTAAAATGCTTCCTGGACCTCGCCTACTTAAAGAAAGTGCATCATTCGATTTTAAAAATATTTCTAATTATGAGCTTTTTTACAATTATCAGGTGTTCATCCACAGAACATCGTATCTGTCAATTTGTTAATGCTGCCTTTACTGTATAAAGCATGCTTCATATCTATTGCAACATTTAATGAGAACTATGTGAGATCTTCCTCAAACTGTAGGCGAACACGTGATTTTCCTTAAACAGGATGTACACAGTGCGCAGTTTGTAAACCTTGAATTCCAGTGTAGCAGTCACTAGGTTTCAAAATTATTCGGCAATTTAGAAACTTTTTTAAAACCGAATGATACCCATTCTTTAAGTATCAAATTTAAAGAAGGCGTAATTTGCTGCCAAACGAGTACAAGAAATTTTTTCCCGCATGTTTTCCGAAAAATATATTTGAATCTATGAAGGCAGTCAAAATCAATGAAAAAAAGGTGTAATACTTAAGTAGCTACTTTCTGTAGTACATCCTTTTACTTGGCGGTCAGAAAGAAGCTCGTTAAAAAGCCAGCATCCAGGTGTAACTAAAATGTATTGGGATTAGGCTGTACGATAGTCATTTTTAAAACCATACGTAATTAATATGTTTGAGAAGAGTATTTGGCGAGCATACGTAGCTTTCGATAAATTCTCATCGGGTCG